AACAAAAATTGGAGGAAAATATGAAGATGCAAGTTTCATTTTCCAGTTCAATAAACAATTGAAAATTAATTTTTGGTTACCTGATCAAACTCTGAAAACTTTAAATAAGGAATATGCTTGGAAATGGGACTTTAACCACATATTCCCCATTAGAGTTGAGTTGATTGATAAAATTGCTTTCAAAATGCTCATTTGATGTTTCCTTCAATCCAGTAGAAGTGTATTCAAACGATTTCTTTCAAACAGGTTCATTGGAAATCTTTGTTTCCTTTAAAGAAGGACTGATAGATTTAATTTTTTTTTGAAAAAAGGACAGTTTAAAGATCTCATGTTCTTGTGAGAACACCCCATGATATTTACACAACCTCCGAAATCAACTCCACTTCACCCATTTAAAGAAATTGCAACGAGCTTCAGGATTGGAGCTGTGTCCTTGTGGTCTGGCACAACAATGAAACTGCTTCCCTTGATTTGGACCTTTGATTTTCACTGTTCTTAGGACGCACGGCTCCTTGTGACCGCTACAAAGAGGGGGTGGACGCGGCCCAGAGAGAATACTTTTCCAAATTGCCGCATCCACTTTACGCTTCTCTGCGCAATCTTTGCGACTCAATGCGTTTTCAGGGACAGGTTCGTTTTCAGAAACATTTAAAGCCGCGTCTGAAGATGAAACGGAGGTATTTGAGAGTGAAGAGACGTTATCCGCGCCTGCGTACTGTTCAAACTCGGAAGGAGTAGTCTTAACTAAATCAAACGCTTCGTTAGTTACCTCGGTAACACTCTTATTGACTGCAACCGGGTCTGTAGACCTTTTAAAGAAACTAAACAGATTTGTCTTTGGCTGTCCTTCAGCTTTGTTTTTCCCTCCGGCAGATTTTTGACGTTTTACAGATTTGCTTTTGACATCACCGCAAGAGGCACTCCGTTTTAAGGACGTCTTTGTTTCCTGTGTAACACTTAAGTCCGTAGAACAAGCCTCGGGTTGACTCTGCGACTGTTGTCCATGTTTCAAAAAGTAAGACTTAAGTTTCTGTTGTTTCCCAGAAAATTCTGGCATAAACTTCGTACAAAGGGAAGGAGGTTTCAATGCAGCTTGAAAAGAATTCTTCAAAGTTGCTACAACTGGACAGTGATCTGAGCCCTCGACATCGGCCAGTATCTCACAGTTTAGGAATTCTTTATCAACAAGTTCTTTATCGGCAAAAATGTAATCAATTCTTGTACCGTAATTGGTTTGACGCGCACTGGTCACCGTGCACCAATTGGTGTAAGCGTCACGCTGGGAAGGGTGAAAATAACGGAATGAGTCTACAAAAAGCCCACCTTGTGCTTGGAGAGGATCACCTGTGTTATGGTCTGGATTAGCGCCATTAACTTCACATGGAACCAAAAACTGATCCAACCACTTTCGTCCAGGATGAGCATTGAACAGTTCCTGAGGAAAGAGTAAAAACATCTACATGTAGATTTGTAAGATCCCACAATTATCCTTCTCTTTTAAGACCTTTTGTGTTAGCAGAAAGGTAACAGGTGGGTTAGAGACGTTCTTCCATATTTCTGGGCAACACCCTGATCGGGTTAAAAAGAAAGGATTGTAATGATTTTTTTAATGAATTCAAATTTATAGTAAAACAAAATTTTTAAAAAATTGGACCAATGACGACATATGGATGAATCTATGTCACATGATGAACCATTTCATTATCAATAATCAAATCATAATTATAGTAAAAACAGTGACGTTGGGTCAGCATTCGAGCAGAGTGGGCTACTCTACCAGAGCTTGTCCACAATTCCCATTGCATGAAGTTACTAGGATTGTTGCTTTTCCCACTGGATGCTGTTGGTCCATGGCAGGTTACCCCCAAGCATTTCCACCACTTTCCCTGAAAATTTGGCCTAAACCCATTTATTCTGCTGGGTAGAATGAGGAAATGGGAGAGTTAAGTGTCTACCCTAAAAACACAACACAGTGAGCAGCCTGGTCTTGTAGCAAGACCTCATGACCTCGCATGAAGGAGAAGTTGCTTGTGCCCATTGGACAAGTCTGACATACTAGCTGTGACCCTAAGGCTATTAAATCTCCCAAAAACAAAACGAATGGAAAATGAAATTTTTATGGTATTAAAGAAGAGGGAAAAAATTAAGGTACGGCAGAAATATTTACCTCTTTGTCAGGATCACAATGATCTATCATTTTATGTGATGTGTTAATGTCACCAAGAACAATGACGTGCCTACATTGAAAAGAAAAACAAATAACTGAGGAAGGTCAAATCTTGACATTTCAGTATGGTAAATACATCTGTAGATGTATCTTGAGGCTCATGCTCCTCTCTTACCAGCCTGGTATAAAGTGACAGGTTGGTTTCTAGGGTAATTTAACAAAAATATTCTTTCCTAAAGATACTGTTGGGCTCCACTGACAGGCAAGAGAAACAGCAAGTTGGTTATTAACCACAAGTTGATTAACCCTTTAACTCCCAGAAGTGATTAACATAAAACTTCTCCCTACAATATCCATACATTCTTCAGCAAACAGGTGATGAGAATATTCAAACTTATCAGGTAGAAGCTGCTATCTTGATCTAGCATCAAATTCTCAGGGGAGGATTAACAATCAGATCTTGGGAGTTAAAGGGTTAAGGCACACATGATTAGCACTGAAATTGCCAATGCCAGTTTGACAAAAGCCAATAGCCATTAGCTAACCAATCCCTTCAAAAAGTAAAACAATGTTTAATTTCCACACCTTCATTGAGGCATAACTGGGTAATTTAGTATTGTTGACTAAATTGATAACATTTATTGGCCACTATAACCCTTCGCTCTAGATAAAAAAGGGCTAACACTCAAAACATCAGCTTTGAAACTCTTTACAGAGGCCAATTTATACTTTCAACTCAGTTGAGAACATAAAGTACCCTGTTATACTCTCCCACCAATGCAGCACCACAGTTCTCTTAGAAACTTTTCCCCTTTATTAAATTGAGGCACAGCTTTTTTATTTATTAAATGCCAATATTAAAGACAAAAAAGCCAAAAAAAAAAGAAACATACAGTTTCTGTACCTTCCTGCATTGACAAGGGATTCAGCTCTCTCCTGCAGCAATTTATAAAAGTTCATTTTAAAATCCACTCTTTCCTTATTCTCCTTGTCAGCTCTGGGACAGTACACATTAATAATAACAACTGACTTGCCCTCAGGGAGAGTGTGTTCAGTGAGTATGGCACGACCCTCATTATCCAGAGCTTCTAGCTCATCAGGTGTGAAGTCAGTGTTACTGCCGTAACAGGCGATAGATGGCTGAGGAGTAAGGCAAGATGAGAGACCCTCCTCAGCAGCTTTAGGTGTCACTGCGTCGCGGCAAAATGTTGCAACTCCTGTGGAAAAAGCACCCACAGTTGGCTAAAATTACAAACAGTGCATTCCTAAGATCTGGAAACTCATTTATGCTATCCAAGAGAATTGAGGTGTAACATAACCTTGTATACATTAAAAGAGTAACATCATCCATTCAAAATGGAATTTTTATGCTCTGCAAAGAACCAAAGGTGAATCCACATGCATGGCAAGAGTTCCACAGCAATGGGAGTTTATATCCCAATTTCTGCAGTATCATGAGGGAAATCAGAGTTTTCTTCCCCCAGAAAAGATACGGTGCTCATCAATTTAGAGTAATCCACCAAGGCCTAATGTCCTTCAAAAGGTGAAAAACACCATCCAAAGAATAAGTTGCTATCCAGTGGATAATTAGTAGATAAACCCCTTCAGGCAGCTGGTATGTCACATGATAATTTACTGTAAGTGGCTGAGGTATTGTTGGAAAAACAAATATTTGGCAGAGAAGCGAAGCTTTGAGGGAAAATGTGAAATTTTGAGGATAATCTCTCAGCCAAGGACATTGTCAGCCCACATACCAGCTGCCTGAAAGGGGTTTAATTATTTTATAACACCTCCATTAAATTTTGTGTTGCGTGTTGACAGCAAAATTTTACTCACTGTTTTGCACTTTCTGGAGCAGCAGTTGAGATAAGCTTTTTAATGTCACTACCGGTGGAATCCACAAAACAAGTTTGTTTTCTTCCACTTAAAACAATGAAGGTGAAACTCATGAGCTGGCTTTTTTCTGTGAGTTAGTTGCTTTCCCATGGAAATAATTGGAGGATAAATATCAATGTAAATGGGGGTTATGGCCTGATAATTGTCCAAGGATTTTGTTAATGGAAAGTACCCAATAGGGTTGTGCAAAAAATTATAGATGTGCTACATTAGTGTCAATATACCATGTTGCACTATCAACAAGACAGAGATTATCCAGAGAATAGCATAATAATCTATTCAAAGAAATGGGACCAGGTGTTCCTGCAAGTTTGCCGAAGATCAATCCTAAAATATCCTTGTCAGGGGAGAAAATGTGAGAAATTATGTGCCTTCCATAGAAAATCACAAAAGATGACCCCCATTTAAACCAGCTTAAAGATGAACTGGGCCATCATGAATAATCACTGCATTATTAAATTAATTTTAAAAGTGAATCTACATGCAGCAAGGGTCAGACATGGATGTTTTAATCCCAAGACCAGTCTCCTATGAGACATTCAGAAAATACAAAATACCACATCCCATACTGACTTCCTTCACTCCTTATACTATAAAATGAGCAAAAACGAGAGCTAGCTCTTAAGTTTAGTGGCACAAGTCGGCTTGCATAAGCTCAAAAGCTGTACGTTACAGTTTGATTTTCAAAAGCACAACCAAAATTGGTGAGGAGGGACAAAATTGCTATCTTTTACATACCAGAGTATCCAGTCTTCACTTTTGAGAAGCTAAAATAAGCATTGTAACCATCCACAATTGCTGTCACTTCATCTAACATATCACCTATAGTGTAAAATAAATGCAGTTTGTTCGTGGTGAGTATAAAACTGCATAACCACCCTAACTTAGCCCGCAGAACAGGTTTAATTTTGGCAAGTGAGTGCTCAATATTTTCTTAGCAAAAATTGTGGCTGCTATCTTTGATTTCAATGGAAGCAGAAGGCTGGGGAGAGAAAGAAATTTGTACCAAGACAGTCAAAAACAAGGAGAAGGCTGGGGATGGAGGAGTGAATACTACCTTCCCCTGCCCCCTACCCTCACCATCCACTTTGACTCCAAATCAAACATGGCCAGTGGGATAAACAATTGTGAGCTTATAACTTTAACTTGCCCTCATGAGACACATGTATTGCAGAATAACCCTAACTGTAAAAGTCACCAAATTTTGGTTTAAAATGTGACATGTTTACACAAATCCCCCTCAACATTCAGTCTCACCCCTGCCCTCCTTCACACAAACAACTATCAAATCAAAATAAAAACTTACAACTTTTTATAAATTTAGAGCTTTTTTAAAGTACATTTGCTATTAGAAAATGATTGATATGTGACAAGCACCCGGATTGGTTGGAAATCTATTGCTTATTGCACTGGTAAACCCATAGTAAATTCTTTTGCTTTAGATTGATTAAAATAAAAAAGCAATAAACAGCACTTTCCCTCAGTTAACTAGCATAATAAACCAATTGGGATGTTAGGAGAACACTAGAAAGGTTTGTAAATCACAAGCTAGATACCAGTTCTCCATCATCCTGTGTTGGTTATCACAGTGGTAAACCAAAAGAAAGTGCAGTCTATTGCATAATTTTATCTTTTTTCAAGCATTTCATCATCAAACCCTTTCCCAAACTAATGCATATCCAATATTTTACCTTTAAGCTATTATTTACAAAGATTGACATTACTGGACAAAATTTCTGTATGACCCCTTACTTAAGTATGTATCCAGTTCTTTGATATAACAATTCAATGCCAAAAGCAATAGATAACCTCTGCAAATAGGACTGTTTTAGAACAGAATGGATTTATAAGTGGCTTATGCTCCACCTGAGACTGTGCTAGCATTATAAAATACACTATAACATAGCTAGTAAATTTGTCTGATCAAATTCAATTGCGTGAGTGTGTTTCATATTCCTGTTGTGCATGCTCATGATGTCAGCAAACAAATCCCTCAAGAAAAAAAAATTTTGTCTGCAATTTTTACATGTACTCTGGGATTTTACCATTAAAAAACTGGTTAAGACTTTGGCAGCAATTTTAAGCTAAACATGGAAACAAGATTGTTTACAGTGCAGCGAAATATTTTCCTGAAACAAAATTATCAACGTGCTGAAGCATAGCACAGGGAATATTAACCCTTTTACAACATTTAAACCATCGGGTTGAAAATGTTATAAAACAATTGGTTCATATGTCAGCTACGGCTACACCTTAACTCTTACGCATCTTTCATGCTCTCCAAACTTCCTGTGTGCTTCATCTCTTGATGAACACATGCTGATGTATGAACCAGTTGTTAATTTAAAAGTACATGGTTTGATGTCAGCAGTCTAATTGCTGAGCATCATTGACTTACAATTTACACTATTGACTGGGACTCTGTGTAATTCCTAACCTATAGCACTAACTTCTGTTAAGAACTGACTCTAGAAAGCTGGTTTCCTAACAACATGTAAGAACAGACTCCCCTCATCAGGTGTCAATTTAACTACTGGCACAATGCAAAGACTTATTCACCGTGTCAACATCACAAACTAACCAAACAGACAAGCCAAACATTGCCAATAGATCAAAACCAACCAATTGCAACACTTGAATCTTACAGCCAATAACATGACAGCAAAACTTACCAATCAGTTAATATGAACCAGACAAAGAACATTCGAATGACAACAATCATTGACTCAGATGATGATTTCTGCTCAGTTTGTCGAAACGTCAGTCACCACTACCGACTACAGTCCTTCTCAGGACTACACTCACCCGGACGATCAAACTGCCTTTGTTCCATTGCAATCATACGGTACATTTTTGTATGCATTAACAATCTTGTAGTTGGAATTAAGTGGCTTTTCTTTCCCAACTTTTTGGAATGTTGGTGGAAGGAAGACTGGAGGTCCCTATGAAAAACCCTTGAAGCAAACTCAACCCACATGTTAAGCCTGGTCAGGGAATCGAACCTGGGCCACAGCCGTAATAGGCCAACGCTCTCACTACCTTGCCATCCCTGTTTGCCGTATGTCCGAGCAAAAAGGAAATTTTTGAAATTTGAATAGACCTACGCGACTACCTGAATGCTTGCAACCGGCTGAAATAATTTGATGTACATGTGCAGTGTGTACTTACGAGTAACTTTCGTCTCTTGCAAGCAGATAACATCAGCTTCGAGGGAATCTAAAAGGACTTTCAACGATCTTTCACGCCTAGAGGCACGAATTCCGTTGATATTCCAAGTTAAAATCTTCATTTCTCACGAAACTCTTCCAAGAACGTTTGATCTGAAGACGTTCAACGATTTCGTTTAACGCGCGCTGGGCTAACTGTACCGGTCAGCGGTATTTAAGATAAAAAAGAACAGACCTGTTTATTCCGCATAAAATCTCCCATTGCCTGTCTTTTTCGGTGGGAGAGGGGTGGGTCATATACCGTTAATTTCTCATCATTTCCGAGAGTCTGAACATAAAATAACGGCAACGTCGATTCCAATTTTGATAAATTATCTTCGTTTTTGACAAATAACTTTACATATCCGCACCATCGAAATTGAAAATTTGTTCCTAACAAGTGCATCAGCACTTTAAAAATTATTTCATTAATTATTAAATATCGAAAATATTAAATATCATTTCTTTGCAAGTTGAAAATGAGTGTAAGTGATCACGGTGACCCGCAGTTATGCTGTATGACAACTGTCCGGAGTTTGCACTAACAGAGTATCATATGACAATAAATGAGAATTTGCCATTCAATCAGAGCATTGTTCATGTGACGGCTACTGGTGGAATGTGAAGGATGATGAAAAGAGGTTATACGCAATTCGGCAAGGAAAAGAAGGAAAGGCTTTTACAATCGATAGACATGGTATGTTAATTTATGATAAGATAGGAATATTTTGAGGTCTATAAACGTTCAGTCGAGTAACACAATAGTGAAACGTTGGGTATGCACGAAAGAATCAATTCCGGTAGACAACGCGTCAACGTCCCGCGTAAAAATTTCGGGGGGAAACGTAAGAAACAACCGCCGTTTCGCAAAATAAGCGAAATAAAATAAACACGTTAATAGGAATCTGTTAAAAGAAAAAGAGTAGGGAAGAGGAAAACTCGAGACTTTTCAACCGGAGCCTATTCAATTTAGTAAAGGATCCTGTTGATTTACCAATCTCTTCTTAGCTTAACCAAAAGTTTTATAGGCCTTTACAACACCGATACTACTGGTACTTCTACTATTACTACTACTGCTACTACTACTGTTACTACTAGTTACTACTATTACTATTACTACTGCTACTGCTACTGCTACTGCCACTGCTACTGCTACTGCTACTGCTACTGCTACTGCTACTGCTACTGCTACTGCTACTGCTACTGCTACTGCTATTGCTACTGCTACTGCTACTGCTACTGCTGCTGCTACTGCGACTGCTACTGCGACTGCTACTGCTACTGATTTTGTTATTCATTTACGCAAAATTTACGTTTATTTAAGTCAACAGTTGAAACTATACGGCAAATAAACGTTCATTAGCACTTCCATGAACTTCACTAACTCGAACAAATTTTCAGTAACGCTATTTGCATATGTATCAACATTCAGTGGCATCAACGGATGAAAAATTGCACCTTTGGACAATCAAAGATAACAAATTTACTTTCAATCTCGCACAATGGTCAATCATTAATACCAATAGAAAATCAATGACATAGTATGACAATCAGCGCCTTGTTAGTAACATACAATAATATAGTTTGCATAGGGACGCACAATCAATTGCACCTTCATAAAATCGTTTATTCGAAACGGTCAATCATTGACGTGAACCGACAAACGTTGGTATTTTTCGATTAATCAATGTTGAATTGCTCTAAAGTGATAAACAACGAAAAAATTTCAAAACCATCAAAGAAAGAAAAGGAAAGAAATACATAAACCTGTCATTGTATTTTCCTCATGTCAAATATGTTACATGTTTCCCATCTCATTCGTGATCACATTCTGTAAGGAGAGAAAGGTAATTTTCAATAAAAATTTAATTTGTCTCGCACCTTGCATGTAGCTTCATAGGTTGAGACGCAGTTGGATTCAAAAACTGGTCTTTCGAAAATTCCTTATCGTCTGCAGGTTAAACATTGATTTCTATCATTGAGCTCACAGAAAACTTTCAATCCTAACTCATTTATTTATTTCCATCTATTTCTTTGCAAGCTCAATATCTTAACGAGCAGTTAAGATTATAAGTCTTAGTCAAAATGTCCCCCGCCTCCAACGTGCGACACGGATTCGAACCCCGTCGAAGCCTGAATTTTTTTTTTTGTAGTCTTCTTTTCTGCAGTTGCTTAAATTGAGGATCTTTGCTTATCTTGATTTAAGAAACTGCTTTGTTGCGTTGCATGATAACAAGTGAATCATTAACCAATTTTTAAAGGCCGACATCTCGAGCCTAAGCTATTAAAATAGAGGGGGTAGAAGTGGGGATGTTTTAATTCACATCTATTTTTAGACACTTTTGTGGCCACACCCTTATATTAGTCACTGTCGACCACAAAATTTACATATGAAGTGATGTCTCGTGAAAGATACAATGAGCTTTCTGTAGTTTTTAACAGCAACACAGATAAGTATTTAAAAAAAACCAAGATAAAAACAATGACCCTTTGATGACCTGTTTCCTTTCGACAGAGTCACGCTTGAGCTCTTTGCTCGCGACGAGTCTGGTAACGATTTAAACTCTGCAGAAGTGATCGATATGATAAACAAGGGAAGAATGGAGGAGTTGGAACAAAATGGTTTTAATGGTTTCACTACAGCCATTGAATATCATTATTCTGTTCGTCCTGAATTAGGGGAACAGGGGGAGGGTTTTGGTTCTCATAATAAAATTTTACCTATTTAGTCCCCCCCCTCCTCCTTTATGCTCTGTTGACGACGACTATTCCCCCCTCCATTTCCCTTGAAAACCATGTGATTCACAGCCAAAATCTTCTCCCCCACCCCCAGTGATTGCATATGTCTCGTAGCTGTGGAACTGTGGAACTAAGCTGTGCGAAATCATATCAGGTTTGTCCTCTGAGCAAGTAGAATCTTCATGCTGGTGAGCCTTGAAGGATTTATATTGACGTCAATTTTCAAAGAATGATTATCACATCGGTGGACATTGGTTGTATAGCAATAAAATTTACTAACAGATAGTGCTCTGATATATTCTCATGATCTCTGCTTATTGGCATTTGATTGACAGTCGATTTTCTACAGAGCCCTTTTACACTCTGTTCATGACGACTGATCCACCCTCCGCCTCCCCTGAGAACCAAGCGCTCCTCCAAACTCCTTCTCTCCCCCAGGCGATAAATAATTTCACTTTTTTGATAACAAGTTAAATGATTTTCTTTATCTTTTTTCAGGCTACACTGAACTTTCTAAAGGTAAATATGCTGATTATCGAATGATATCATATTAAAAAGCTTAATCAATGTAGCATCTCTTCTGATTATGAGGGATGTTTCCTCCACTTATCAACTTCTTCCCCTTGGTTTCCGCGGTCGATTTTGAAAATAGCAGCAGGTCACCTCTTTTAATACGACCGAGAAAATCGTGAGGTCGATGTTATCCGCAGATAGGGCGAGCGTAGTTTCTAGTGCATCTTGGAATAGCAATTAAGGTCGACTTTTGAAAGACAAGTTTTGGATGGCAATATAATAACGCAACTCTGGAACTCATTTCGGAAAGTTATTTTCTCGCACTAACTATTTTGCAGCTGAATCCCGTCTAAAATTGGTTCAATCTTCGGTCTGACAATTGGACTGCTAGTCCTTATCATTGCAGTAATTGCCATTGGATTAATTATCACCAAAAGGTAATTAAGGTCTTTTGCATCTGGACCGTTTTTTCGTATTCTGCAATGGCAATTGGTCAGCATTTCAAATTAATTTGATCTGCATTTGTCGGAAGAGAATAACTACCCATGTTAACAGGGATGGGGTTGGGAGGGGGGAGGGTGGAAATGGAGAGGCTCATATACTTGATCATATCTCTTAGTCAGAGCGAATGACGAAGAGTCAACGCTCGAAACGTCGGCTTGTAAAAACTCTCTTCCGTGGCCGATTTTACATTTTCAACTCAGTTACTAAATTAATGTGTTGATTTAAATAAACAATATTTTGAGAAAGAAAGTAGACACCGGTTGCACGTTTTTATTAAAATAAACTGTTAATTTGGCGAAATGCGAGACAACAGCGTACGCACACGACACATTCTGCCCCCTAGCAAAGGCACGACGTGTTTACTATCCCTTAAACTGTTATTGCACTATCCAGTTACAAGCATAACGCATACATTGTCCTATTAGTGCTCAAATCGGGCTGGTGATAACCAATCACAATCGAGAATTTTGTTATACTTTTGATTAATAGCTAAGTAATTGTAGTAAGACTTTTGGCTGCTGAGAGTGCTAAAACTTTTCTTTTGACAGCTAAGCGTATATTCTGTGGAACTTGGATTGATAGTTTTGATACGTTTGGACACTTATCTCAACGTCTCCACACTTGTTCATCTCTTTCGGTGGTTGCAATTGACTTTGCTCGTGTGGAGCTTCATTGACAATTATTGCCATTCCCTCGAGCTGGTGTACCTCTATGTGGCAGTGAAGAAACCAGTAGCCAGGATTATCGGATAGAAAGTTGATAACAACGTACCCTCCAGCAGGAAACATAACAGTGTCCTTTCTGATCGTATGAGAGTCCATAGAAAATGCTTTTCTCGGTTCCATCTTGGTCTGGTACATCTCCTCTTAACGCAGTTCTGTTGTGTGCAGTGAACGTCATCGCAGTATATATCAGTGTTGTGCTTTGTAATAAAACCAGTTTTTGGGTCATAATCTGGGTATCCAACATGAACGACATGGAAGGTATGGCCATGAAGGTGAATTGGATGAACGCTGTGGAAAGCACCAATTGCTGAAAGCACCAATTGAATAGTTTCCTTGTAGGGAATGGTTATCACTTGCACACATGAGCACGCGGATGTTGATGGGTTGCAGTCGGCGTTCAGGTCACAAATATTGTCCTTTTTGTGAAACTCTTCAGGTTCGGTTTGAGGAGGAAAGGAGGGAAGAATGAAGTTGCGCCCATTCACTGCACTAGTTTGAGAGTCACCCTCAAAGTTGAAGTTCATGAAATGTCGACAATCTCGGCATTGCCCTGGGGTTTTAGGATTTGCGTTCGGAAGCTCCGCTGGTGGAGTTGGCTCAAGTAAACGTAGGTTTTGAACAT